ATCACTTGCCGAAGCCTGAGAGTTCCTATCTATACCTTATGGCAAATAGCCACCAATGGACTTCTGCTCCATATGCTTATCTAATTCCCTCTTGAAGCTGTCCATGCTTGTAGCCACCGCCACCTCCTGTAGCAGTGAATTCTATGTATTAATCACTCTTTGGGTGAAGAAATATCTGTTCTAACCTGACTGCTCAGCAATTTCATTGAGTGTTCATGAGTTCTTATATTGTGAGAAAGGGAGAAAAGTACTTCTTTCTCTACCTGCTCTATCCCATGCATAATCTTATAAACCTCGATCATGTCACCCATCAACCTTTCTTTCTTTTTTTTAAGTACCCATAAGGTACACTTTTATTATTTTTCATATTATATACCAACAAACATACTACATAACAAACATCCACTTACACACATAAAACATGCAAAGAGATCAGTATATTATCTTATAACTCTATTACCATATTTAAAGAATTTCTATAAGTTTGCTTAAGTTTCTGTATACTCTTATCTTTTTACCATAGTTTCTATTTAACTAAAAAATATTAATAATAGCAAAAATTTCATTACTTTAAGTTATGCATTTATATTGTACCAATCATACAGTTTTTTCCACGTCTTTTGAAATGTTGGGTCTGTTGTCCCTCTCATCAACAATGACAATTTGTCATTTTCAGCCGTCTCCAACAGTTTATTCACATATTCTTGCTTCTTTGGTGTTTCTATTTGTTTCCAATATTTTGCATATAATATTCTTGCTGCAGTAGATAGGTGTACTATCAAATATCTATCACCTTTATCAAACTCCTTTGGAAATATGTTTAGTAATAATATTTCAGGCAAAAATGGTATTTTACCCATCAACCTTTCTTCATAGAGACAATGTTCCAGCCCTTTTATCATTCTAGTTCCCCTTTTCTGCACTTTTTCCAGTGCTATAGAGGTGTGGTGACCAGAACTGTACACAGTACTCCAAATGAGGTCGCACCATTGATTTATACAGGGGCATAATGATACTGGCTGATTTGTTTTCAGTTCCCTTCCCTTCCACACCCCCATGCATCATCTGCTCAGAGCCACACACTTCCAAGGCAGGTTCTCATACACGTACATATATATAGGGACTGCATTATGCACATTTGCCACTCATTTTCAAGGGGAGATGGAAGACTGGGCTATCTGAGCATCTCTTATGCTTGTTTGTTTTCATACTTTTGTCACAGGACGGACTAGTATGCAGCCAAATGTAAAACGATAAGAATTACTGTCTGGTGCAAGGAAGCATGGTCAGTACTGAATGAGAGACGTACCTTGCTTTGTTCATACTTGTCCCCAGGCTGGTGCTGCTCGTGCCCTGTGCTGCCATTGGAGGTAGATATCTTCAAAGGTGGCAGAGACGGGTTACGAATTGTAGCCTTCAAAGGCTTGTCAGGCCCTACTGCACCTGAGGAATACGGCCTGGTGATGGGCTGAGGTACCCTGCTGGTCTGGGGTCTCATGACTGCAGAAGTGCTGCTCTCTTTGCGCTGATACTCTATAGGTGACTGTAGTGCTGGAGCAGAATAGTAGGTGTCAGTATAGAACTCCCCATTTGCAACACCGCATTGCCTCACACAAGAAGCATCAGACTCACTTGATCGCAAACAAACAGCATCGTGCAAGGCAACGCCCTTAGAATAAAACTAGAAAATACGAGATGGCTATATGACTGGGAAACACCAAAACTTCCTCCTGATGCAATGAGGGGAAGGTACATTTGCAAGGGCGGGCTGAGCAAAGAGAGTGCAACATCCACCACTGCAGCTTACAGCCTTCAGAGTTCATGGGTACAACTTCATTCTCTCAACACAGATGATGGAAGCAACGTATACTCTGCTATTTGACTTGGAACAGCAGCTACACCTAGACACTTAAAAAAACCATGCAAAGCAACTGATTAAGTATTGGTGGGAAACACATCTCATGTGGCAATGTACCACACTGTTCATGCAAAGTTCTGTAAGAACAACACTGATGGGTTAGCTTCCTAGGTGATTATAAACATTCACCAAGGGATGACTTGAATATCTTATTGCAGATTTTCAGACTTTGATCCTGACTTGAGATCAGCTACAATTTTTAAAATGCACTTTTCTAAATCAGGGTGGCACATCACTTGTGATGTATGGGGGGTGGCATCCAAAGGTTTGTTTTTTTGAAAAAATCATGTGATTGTTCTATCGCAACTGCGCAGTAGCATCCAGCAAGCTTTTTAGTGTTAGGCTTCCGGAAAATGCCAAAATGGTCCCCCCCCCCTTTGTGATGTATGGGGGGTGGCATCCAAAGGTTTGTTTTTTTGAAAAAATCATGTGATTGTTCTATCGCAACTGCGCAGTAGCATCCAGCAAGCATCTTCCATTTAAATCCCTGTGGTTCAGGCTTTGCATATGCATTTTAGTGTTAGTTCCTTGAATGAAAGGGAATAGAAAGGAATGCAGGCATGGGGGGGAAACTAATGTCAAAACTGACAAGACCTTTTTTGAAACTGACAAGCAGCTGAAAAGACCCATTTTTTCATATGGCTAAGCACTAGTGGATTTCTCTGCTGTGTTATTGGCCACTGAAAAATGGGAGTCACACAATCTCTGAGAGCCAGTTTGGTGTAGTGGTTAAGTGTGCAGACTCTAATCTGGGAGAACGGGGTTTGATTCCCCACTCCTCCACTTGCACCTGGCTGGATGACCTTGGGCAAAGCCATAGTTCTGTCAGAGCTGTTCTCTCAAGGACAGTTCTAGAAAGAGCTCTCTCAGCCCCACCTACCTCACAGGGTGTCTGTTGTGGGGAGGGGAAGGGAAA